TCACCCTGTATCATGAGCGTCCATGGCCATTTAATTTTGCCAAGGCCTGGCTAAGGCATGCCCTGCTGAGGAGTAAGCAGCTTGTTTTGGATGTGCACTTTGCCTTTCTAGCTGGCTTTGTGCAGATCAGTGGCCTCCAAATAAAGTCTCTAGATGTATACTTGAATGGTTTAGGAAACACACCTTTGCTGCTGTCAAAAAACTGCAACTACTTCCTGAACAACTGTCTGCTGTCTGACTAGCTGCAGGCCATTTCTGTCTGCTGTGCTGGACCTAAAAAAGCCCTGGAGAGCCCCTGTGGAAAAACCACAGGTGGGTCAGGTCACTCCACAAACCTACCAGTACCGTATCAATCAGACTGGCACAGGTTTAAGTCGCACAGTTGGGGGTGTTTTGCTGTTAAATGAATGGGCACAATCCTGTGAGTTGAATGCTACAGCTTTACAAGCAATCTTTGATTTATACATTCATAGAAATGTTGATTGGAGGGACCTCCGAATGTCGGTGGCTTTGTCTGGGTAAATATTGAAAAACCTCTAGGGACTGGACTTCTACAGCCTTTCTGGGCAACCTCTTCTGTACCACTGCCCTAGTAAAAAATTTGTTTTGTAATGTCCATCCTGAACCTCCCAATTCACAGCCATTGCCTCTTGTTATATTATTTGGCCTTACTGAGAAGTATTTTGTTCCCATTGCAACTATCCATCAAGTAGTTGTAGGAATATCTTGGAATTGTTGCAGTTTCCTTGGAATGAAGATTATCCATGTGAACAATAAGCTTTTTTGTTTCTTTTTTTTTTCTCTGCATCTTAGTATTCCATTTCTTGATGTTATAAAATGGATTTGCATCTGGGATTTCATAGATATGGGGAAGGTTACTGGCCATTATTTAATAGACTCATTTAACACAATTTCAAAATTGGTTAGGGTGAAAGATCTTAATTTACTTTTGCATGGCAGCCTTTTCTGGAGAAGTGGTGAACCATAGCTCCTCTGGGCAGCATTGCTCCTGCCTTTTCATAGCTGAGCACTGGAGCAAACTGGAGTCTCTGAGGACTAGAGTCAGTGAGTGGTCTTCAAATGACTTCTGGTGGATGTCCTTGTACTACAGGGAAATTGTAAACAACACTGATTTGCTGCTTTGTCCCTCCAAGTTGTGGGGCTCCAGGGTTCATTTTGTTACCGGTTCTGAAATACCTGCCAATATTGCAAATCATGGCTTACATGGATTCAAAACCAGTTCAAGGCAATTCCAGCTGGTAGCTGTTGCATCAGTTGTCAGCAAGTTGCTTTTTCCTTTATGTGAACGTGATGAACCACCCAACTGCTCATGGACATGGCCACTGCTGTGGAACACTGACCAAGACTGTGGGCTTGGTAATTCATGTTTATTAAGCATTAGAAGAGCTATAATGCAGATTATAGGACCATGTTGTGAGCTCGCTTACAGAGAAACACTGAAGTCTTGAACATCTGAAACCCCTTTATTATCTGGCACAAAGGAAAATGTGGTAAATCAGAGACCGGTCACCCATGTACCTCTCTCCATGCATGGGGCTGTACCCAAAACGGAGAGCTGCAGGCTTTAAGATTCAGATTTTGGATAGTTGTTTTTTAGATCCTTACCTTCCCTGATAAATTCAGTACCAGTGATGAGGGCGATATTTCTGTGCATCCGCATGAGGTGAGAAAAGTGCTCGCTTCTGTAGGCACTGGTGTCCTGGCCTGACATCATGCTTTGAGTGGGCGAAGGTGTAACAGTTGGGTTTCGAAGCTGGCGCAGAGCATAACGACCCAACTTCAACCACATTTCGTACACAGACATCGTTACTCTGTTGCTCTGAGACCGGGCTGCTTTTTTTTTTTTTTTTTTCTTTTTTTTCTGGGGGGATTTTAAGGCATGAGCTGCAAAACACAAGGCAGCTCTGGCTGTGATTACCTCTGTAAGTGCCTTTCCCTCCTCCGGCGGTCACAGTCAGCCGAGGAACAGTGAAAGCTGTCAGATCCCTGCAGAAAAAGGGAGAAATTAGTGCTGGCAGAGTCTGTATGCGACAACTTATCTGCTGTGAAGTTTGAGTCCCTTGTTCCTGCTGGTGTGATCTGTTAACATAACATGCCTGAAATGTTTTCTTACATTCTTACAGTTTTTTCTAAGATGCGCAAAATGAAAAACATGGGGATATTTACTCCAGTACCACAGGAATTGTGGTGGGATGGTTTTCTTTTTTTTACGTTCACAATCTATGCCATCGATTATGCTGTTGTGTTATAATATATGAATTAGCCATATAAACATGCCTGCATTTATGTAAAGATCTATGTAAAGCTTATGCTTTAAAACCTTTAATGGATTCATAGGTGCTGAGTAATTAAATGAAAGAAAAAGTCCCTTTTTTTAAAAAAAAGGTGAAGTTAGAGCAGGTCTTTTAACAAGTCTGTTTATTACATTTAGTGATATCAATTGATAGTGCTGAGAATGCCTTAAAGCATTTTTTTTAATATTTAGCTCTTTAATTCTTCTCACTGGTCAGTTAAAATACTCTTCTTAGCTTCAGTCCCGTGTCCTTCGTGACTCTTCTGTAATGTCCTGCTTTACCTGGTTGGCAGGTAACATAAAAAAATTAGTGCTTTAAAAAGACACACAGCTGTGCCCTCTGGATCTTGGTAATCGTCCCTTTAACTCACCAGTTAATGGTAAGGAAGTGCACTAAATTCTTACTTTCTCCCTGTTGTAAGCAGACTTTCTTCAAATAGTAATAAAGGCAGATAAGTTGAGTATGTAGTCTGGTTTCATTAACATTTTCCAGGATTAATATTAAGCAGATCTCAGATCAACAGTGCTGTATATGCCTTATCAGACTTTTAATTACTCTTAAGTATATTGATTGTTCCATTTCAATGTATTTAACTCTTTATTTACTACTTGGATACTATTCTTTGTCCTCTTTCTTGCTATATCCTCCTTTATCTTCAGTCCCAACTTTCTCGTCAGCTGTCTAAATGCAGTTGCATCCAAGTTGTGCTGAGTGACGCAGATGATTGCATGTGTGTTTAGAGGCCATTTAAAAACCCAAAAGATTATTTTAGTTTAGTCCCTGAAGAAAGTTTTTTTATTTAAAACACAAAACCAGCCAGGTAGTTGTTAGAGGTTACAGACACAGAAATAAAAATTTACTTGATTAGGATTTTCTGTATAAATACCAGTAGTCCCTAATTCTGGTATTTCACTGTTTTAAAGATCAATGTCCCAGTTGAAGTTAGCAGCCACAGGGGCACTCTGCGATCTGATGGGGCTACTTTTGTGAATACTTACCCTAGTCTTTGTTGCTGTTGTTTAAATAAAAGCATTTAGATGGTTAAGTTTAGAGCCTTGTGTTTAAAAACAAACCCCAGGCCAAAACAAAAAATCTGTCATCAGTTTTCTCTTGAGAATCGCATTTTCACCAATATTCCTTTTTCCCTAAGTGCCTTGAAGAAAGGATTAACAATTTTATAGAAATGCTCTTTGATTTCCTACCTTATACATTGCTGATTTAGAGGCAGCCAGAACTAAATGTGTGAGTGTGTAGTCATTACTGTACTGTATTTTAATTAGATTTTATTTTGCTTTGGGTTTTTTCCCCATTAATTCTCAGGTTGTTTTCACATTACACTAATCATTCCAATTACACTTGTGTAATTTGTCATTTGGTGGATATTAAATCCTCTTCAGCTGCTTTTCAAACACTGATGCTAAATTCTGGTTCTGAACTGATCGTTCAAAAGAAAGTTCATTCTTGACCAGAAGCATTACATTTCCTGCAAAGTTTGTTTCCTTCATGCAGCATCGAATAGATTTGAAAAAGATGATTATTCATCTCACACTTCTGATCCGCTTCACTTATTATTACTGCTTTGTGCGGGATGTTGGCATGCTCCAGGTCATTGCTTTGTTCTATCTGTAACAGGCTGGCAGAAAGGAAAATATTAGAGATGTTGCTCATGTCAGTGCTTCTGCATCCATTTGTGTCTCGTTGCAAAACTGTATGGATTTCTGTTGAAGAATTGTGCATTAAAACCAGGAGAGATTTTCTTTTGGATTTAACTGTAGAAACACACTCACACACTGTTCTTTGGTTTGCCACTGCCTTGTTTTGGATAGTTGAAGTAACTGTTTCATGGACTATTGTATTGCCAGCTTCTTTCTCAAAAACAGACAAAGTTTGGAAACCAAGTATCTGTAGAAATACCACTTTGTTTATCCTCTTTTTACTGATAGATTTAATGTCATTAGTACAGGAGAGATTGTTGAGAGCAGCAGTAGTGATACTTGCAAAGGACTAGCAGAGAAGGCAGGACCCAATATGGCTGGAAGTATTTTCTCTTGTGTGTTTATAGTAAAGGTTGTCCTGGCTGTACAGTGAGAGGAGGAATGTCTCCTTCTCGGAGGGACTGTGGGTCAGTAGGTGGCAGGAGAAGCGGCATCAGGACCTCCTGGTTACAATATATTGATAAACCACGGCTGGAAGCAGCTCTGAGCTGTGCAGAGCTGCATGGGTGCTCTTGCCTTGTGTAGCAGGAGCATGTCCTATCATATCAGGCAGGGCTAATGGGGGAGAGGGGAATCTGCTCCCTCCCACAGTTCCACCTCTGCCTGCAAAAATCACTGGGTTGGAGTGAAGTCCCAGTTTTTTCTTCCTTACCCAGCCATAGTTTCAGTGTGCAGCCATGCCTGGATTTCTCAGATCTCTGAGCGTACCCCCCCTTCATTAAGATGGGACTACCCAGACTGAGCAAACTGCTTTGAAATATAGGTATGAAACGAATATCTGAATGTGCCAAGCAGTGTTACTGCATTTCAAGTGACCTTTCAGTCTGAAACTTTGCCAAAGGGAGGGGAAAGGAAGCCACCGTTGAATCGAGTTCTGCACAGAGATCCTGCAAACAGATGGTGTTTGCATATAGGATATGCTGTTCGTGTGCAACTTTACTACAAAGCTCTTCACTTTTAATAATTTCAGGCGGGCTAAACTCCGGCTATATTTGGAACAGCTAAAACAGCTTGTGCCTCTCGGGCCGGACAGCACCAGACACACCACTCTAAGTCTGTTGAAAAGAGCTAAGATGCATATCAAGGTAAAAAAATTCATCCATATTTTTATTTTTTTTAAAGCAGAATCTTCCAGAATGTGTATCCATAGAGAGGAAACTAATTTTCACACAAAATCCATATCCGTATGTCCGATCTTCTGGATATATTGGCCTTTATTAGTTGCAATGATTTCAGTCACAGTATCAAGGTTTTGTGTTTTGCAATTTACCCTGCAGTCTCAGATATATGAAACGGTGATTTTGTGATTTCTGCTTAGTTACTAATGGTTTACATTGTATTTAAAAAAAACCCAAACATAAATGTATGTATCAAAGCTGTTCTTTGATTAATATATATATTTTTTAAGGACCGAGCAAAGCAGCATTGTACTGCATTGATTTCGATGTAAAAAGCCAGATGCATTCGTGATCAAAAAAACTAATGGAGTCAAAGGGCTTCCAGCTACTAGTAAGCCTTATCCCCATCCCACATCTTGATGACCAGATCCTGGAGCATTTGACAATCATTTAAAAGAAACCAAAAATGAAATGCAATCTCCTGTGAGTTGCCGCTCTTCTTGCATGTTTCATGGGTGTAACAAATTTAGAACAAAAAACAACTCAAAATCTCACCTGTGATCCAGCAGCAGTGCAGGTTATACTTTTGCACAGGTAATTCAAAGGGAATTATTCTTCAGGCCTCCTCTCTCCAAAGACACTTTCACTCCCATTTTCATTGTTGTAAGTTTCAGGGAAATGGGGTTATATGCCGAAATATGACAAACGGGTATTCAATTGTAAAAGTTAAAGAACAGGCTTCTGCTGCTGTGTCCAGGACTGTAATTACTCATCTGGCATTTTTTCAGTGTTATAGGGAAACAGGTCAAGAAAAGTGTCAGGAGAGGTTGAACACTGCCAGCAATCTTGGAATATTTTGGAGAACAGCCTGCTGTTTTACACCATTAAGATTCACTGCAGTTGCAGAAATCAGTGTAATTCATATGAAGAATTAAAGATTAATTTAAGCAAAACCTTTCTTGTGAACAAGTTTACTGAGCTACTTCCTCAGCTCTTACAAGCACATTTACTCCAGCTGGGCAACCCCTGTTTTTACCATTTGAGATTTTGGCCTCTTGTTTATAATTCAGGCTAACATGCGTGAAAGGCACTGCATGTGGCTTTTGTCTTTGGTTGCCCCCTTATCATGGGCTTATGCATACAAATTGAAAAACTGTTTCTACAAGTGGCAAGTGGGAGAGATTAGCCATGTAGTTACCATTTCAGCTGCTGATAAAAAAAATGAGGAACAGATTCTTTCCCAAGTCCATCGTGCATGGTACCAAGTACTCATTTTCTGAAAACTGAAACTGAAGTTTAACTGTCTTTTTAAGATTTTAACTGAACCTACCCTAACTGGGTTGCCACTTAATTGCTCCCCTTCGTCAGGGTAGCTACCTCCCTGCTGCACTGCCAGAGCATGCCAATGCCTGTCTGCCATTTCTAATACAGTCATTAGTTTTGAACTTTTCACACACACACACCCCCACCCCCAATATATTGAAACTTGCCTTGAAAGATTGGGTGGTTTTGAGTCTCCTGGATATGAATCACTGAGTTCATGCCTAAAATAGTTGTTAAGAGTTTGGGATTGCAGCCAGGAAAATACAGGAAAAGGAAATCTGATCAATTGGGCACATTTGGTTTCTTGTGTACATGGATGTACCAATCCCTTTTCTTATTATAACATTGTGTATCCACGTATGATGCATAGCTACGTAGAGTATTGCCTGGGAGGGAGCTTAACACGAGGCTGCAGAAGTTAGATTTCATTCAGCCAGGAAACTGCCCAATTCAATAGTGTGAATTATTTTTTCAGAGATAAATACTTTTGCTTTCAGGCTTGCATTGGAACAGCAAAAGCTCTGAAATCATTTTGCTTGTGGTTTGCTGTGCACTGTCCCACCCTGCTCTCCTCAGCAAACAAAACATAGGTTCATTCAGATGGTAGGGAGGAGTTGTCAGCAGCTGTATTCACTCCCTGCACATCTCCTAAATCTCAGTGGTTGTGTAAACACAGCTCACAGAGAAATTTGGCATTTCTTATCAGTGCTTTTATTGCTACAACCTGTAATTTACTTCATCAGTTAGATCATTTTTTAAAATAATATAAGATGTTTTGATTTGTGTGTCCTTCCTGCTTTTGATCCCACCATACTTGTTACGCTTTCTTCCCTAATTATACAGTCAATTCTTTCAAATGGCTATCAGTGATTTGGAAAAGGGTTCAGTTGAAATCTTAAAACATATTATTTCTGTTACTGCATTTGGACCAACAGTGCTGCACATTTTACCAGGTGTGAAGTATTATTTTTATTCCCCAAACTAATACCTTCTTTTATTCAAGCAGAGGGGAGATTTTAGGTAGATGTGTAGAAGGATCCTTTCACAGGCTGTTTGCTGAGAAGTTTTGGATTAATACCACTGATTTTGTAGGAGGTTATCACAGAATTATCCTATTTGCTCTGCAGAAGTTCAAGGGAAAAAAAAAAAGCAAGAATAAAGAAAATTGTTAGTAAATTCCTCCTACTATATATAATTAATACTGCTTATTGTTAATGAAGCTTTTTAAACGCTGAAAATTTCCATGGCCTGCGGTAGCATTTAGGAGGCTCGCAGTGGTTCCTTTATGGTGATAAGTCTCTTATTTCACCTAAAAAGGCATTACATTCTGACTGAAACCTGAGCTGCGCTCTAGTTATCAAAGATGATGCCAGTTTTGCCTCACAAAATGATTTAAATATTCCCCACAACCAAGGCAACAATAATTCGGTCTTAGCTGAGGAACGTCTGCTAGTGGCGAGAGAGTCTCTGAGGGATTTCCAACTCCATATCCATGTATCTTATTGTGAAACAAATTCAGCTCTGGCCTAGCCTGCTTAAATTGTACTGACCTCTGTAGAATGGTAACAAATATTAAAATTTTAAATTTAACTTTAATTTTAAATTAATTATAATATTTAAATTGCTTTAAAATTACTGTTTAGGAGAAGATCTAAAGTTACTTATATTTTAACATGAGTAAAAACTGTCAGTTTACTATCTTTCTCTCTGTTTAAGAAATTGGAAGAACAGGACCGAAAAGCTCTAAATATTAAAGAACAATTACAGCGGGAACACCGCTACCTCAAACGCAGATTGGAGCAGCTATCCGTGCAGGGCATGGAGCGTATCCGCACTGACAGTATGGGATCAACAATATCCACTGACTCTGAACAAGGTAATTGAACGAGGGCTTCCCAAAGGGAGCTGGAGGAGCAGGAAGGAAAAGGGAAGTAGGGAGGCAAGAAAACATTATTTAGAACTAAAATCAAGCTTTCAACAAAACCCAGACAAAACTGTTCCATTATGCAATTTGCAGAAGAAAAAACTACTGCATCTTTTTTACATTATTTGAAAAACATTCTTTTTTTTCTAATCAGTTTTGAAGCTATTAATACTGCGTGTATTTTTAAAGCTATTTATACTGCATGTGTTTTTGCCAGTTTTTTAAACAATTGGCATCTAATGTTCTGAATTTTTAGTGTAATTATTGGGAAGGCTGGCATAATATTTTCTTCTTGGAAAAAAAGATCTTATTGGTCTTAATTCATTTGTGTGAATAAATTAATTCCACATCATTTATTGTGAAATTTTAAAATATTTTCTGTGTAACGATCACCAAGTGTTCTCTACATTTGGTTCTCATTTAAGACAGAGCTCTTCAAGCTGCCTGTCACCATTTCTTATTTTCTCATTTGAAGTTTTTCTGTGCCCGAACACTTGCACAGGCTGACTTTTTCAGTGCGTATGGGAGATGAGTTGTCGGTCACGGTGCAGTTACCGGTGGACAGATGGCTACACCACGGTCGCTGCTAGCCGACACCTGTATAGGTTGGAATTACCATGAACGGTGCTGCAGTATTATGGCCTTTGAGGGTTGGGTTTTTTTTAAAATCAGTGTCTATGCACAGGTTGGAACAGTTCTGGGACAGCATTTGGTATTGATGTCATGCAGTATATTTATGTGGATGAGGACAGAAGGGATTTTAATTCTCAGGTGGACAAGATGATCCTTTCCTCAGGAATTACTGTTCCAGTTCTTTGTTTTTAATTACAGAAAATGAAGTCTGATTCAGGTTTCACCTGAACGTTGGTTGACACTGGCCCATGATTACTTGCTACAACCGCTGCCTTTCTGAAAATGTGCCTTCTTATGTTTTCTTTAGAAGTAGACATTGAAGGAATGGAGTTTACTCCAGGTGAAATGGACAGTATTGGAAGTGCCAGTGATGCTGAAGACCACTACAGTTTGCAAAGCGGTTCGAGTGACGGAGGTTACACACATTCCCGCAGACTGAATGCCAGGCTCTCATAGTGCCTGAGTTACCTGTTCAACTCAGGACCATCTGACTGAAGCACTTATATATGAATATTCCAGAGGTGTCAACTGCCACTCTTCCGGGAAACCCCAACCACAGTACTCTGACATGGAGGTTTCTTACCCACGGTTCCCTGCACTGTAACCACAATATTAGATATTGTAAATCATGGGTTTGCTGCAGAGAACTGTGGTTAGGTACAGTTGTGACTTAAAGCTAGCTTGATGTAGCCATACTGCAAATTAAAGAAAATAAATAATGTCATTCCATTCAAGAAGTATTAAATTCAAACTGTTGGAAGCATGGCGTAAGGGAGTTTGACAGTTATTTTGATTTTGCAGAAACCATTTTCAAACATGGAGGAATAAATGGAATCTACAATGTGTTAGTGATTCAGAGATACAAAAGCCTAAAACTACTTTTTGTGGTATTTTTTCATGAAAAAAAAACCCCAAACATTTTGAACGCTGTGTAGCGGGCTCTGTAGAGTAAATTCTTTCAGCAGTCTTTGTTTGGGTGAAGCAGGCAGATAAATCTTCAAATCTCAGATGATCTTTAGAAAAGGTCGTATTTAAAAGTCACTACTGTACTTCAAAATGGGGGAAAAGCCAGCTCTAATAATGACTTCATGTGGGATGATCTCAACTTTCTTTTGCTTTTTTGTATTCAATATCCAACCAGCAGCAAATCATTCTATCCATGTTAATGGGAGTAGTAGAAAGCAACACTGCAATTTTAACCTGTTATCGTGGAATGGATGACATTTGAAGCATTTCAGTGGTTTTTTGGGTTGTTTTTTTCATTTCTTTGTCTGAAGAATACAGAACACAAGTGATCCAGTTTGTGATAGTTAATCTTTCCTTGCAAGGAAATGAAATCTCTGTTTGCTTGTATTTTTTTTCTTTTCTTCTATTTACACATGTCAATACATTTTTTTATGGAAGGCATGGCTTAAAATTACAGTATTCAGCTAGAAGATAATTAATTTTTTTTTCTTTTGCACACTATAATTGCATTTTCTATTCTTAAAAAAGTGCAAAAAAATTAAAATGTATGCTGTAAAACAGCAAAGTTTATTTAGTATTCATCAAGCTGTTCAGAACATATTTACCCAAATTGTAGCAATACTATGAAGGTGTATTTTAATACAACTTCTGCTTAGTGAAGTCATTAGAGCTTGGCTTGCCGGGTAAGAAAAAAATGGACCAGTCTTTGCATTATCTGTTTAAAGAAGGTCTTTTAAAAAAAAGAAGAAAAAAAAAAAGAAAAAAAGAAAAAAAAAGCTATAAACACTTTTAGGGAAGTGATTTTAGCAAGTGTAGTCTATATTTCCTGTAAGAGATTTTGTATTATATTTTCCTAAATGTTCTCATTTACTTGTATAGGGAGGGGAATGGTACAGACCCAGACCAGAGTCTCAGGGACTCTTCACCTTTGTCATATTGTGCCTTGGTGACCATTTATGTATGCCTCTCCTTTTCATTGTTTAAAGGACAACTAAGCTTTGTTTCAAGACCCTCTGTTTGAATGGTCAGTTGTCCACCTTCTTATGGATGAAGCAGAGAGGTGTATTTATATCTTCACCCTCTCACAACTGATTCAGTGTGGCTTTAAGTAAAATCATAAAATTAGGTTTTGGTGCGAGGGTTAATTGTCTTTGTATAAGCCCTCCCTTGGATTCTTCAGCACCCGAATCTATATTTTGTTAGCTTATAAAGTCAGGGTCTCTGTGAGACCAGTGCTCAGTGGCTAGGGAAACACAAACGTACTGTGTAAGGCTATGGGATGTCCAAGTGTGGTGCCATTTTTAGCATTCAGATACAAGACCTCATGACAGACTGACCATAATGATCAAAAACAAAGATTCAGTTGTTCTTTCAACATCTGACATATGTGTCCTCCCTTTGGCTTTTACAACACGGAGTAGAAATACGAATACATTTTGTGGCAGCTTACAGATCCTTGTTTGCACTCTCGCTTACTGCTTGGAACTTGCCAACAAGGAAAACATATATGTTTAATTTACATAACCTAATGGACGGCCACCCCTACTTTGGCTCTGGGGGGGGGCCTAAGGTTATAAACTCTGGCAGCTGAATAAGAAAACAATTAACCTTTTCTGTGATGCAGGTTTTGGTATTACGTTCTATACACCTTGCATATTACTAAAATCCTCATTGTTGGGGAAAGCACACAGCAATATACTCATTGTGTGTAGCTGACAAGCAGCAGAAATTACTAGCTCCTTTGGTGCATATGTAACTAATTTCCAAATCATGGAAAAAAAAAAAAAAAGAGTTTACTTTAACACACGACTGTTAACAGGAAAAAAAAAAAGGCTAGTATATTGTTGCTGTTCATTTATTATATAATGAACACATTCATGAATTGTAAAGTGTTTCCTTTCATGACAAGCAGCTCTTGCACAGAACCTCCTAATGAAAAGAGATTTGAAACTTAAAGAAGGAAAAACGAGATTTTAAATTGAACCTTATTGTACCTTAGGTCGACCTGAAATTTTCCTTTTAAAGATGAATGTGCTAACTTAATGAGTTCTTCCACGCTGGGTATCCATGGCTTTGTAGATCTTATATTTTCAATAAAAATTACTCGAATAATCTTGAGTGGAAATTAAAAGGGTTTATTTGTTTTTACTTTTTCAGTTATTACAGCTGGGGGCTATTATGCCGGTAAAGAAAAATGACACCACGCTGCCTGTTGTCATTCTCCCTCAAGTGCAGCCCAATTTTAAGGTGCTGTTTTCAGGCGCAGCCCCCTTTCCCGCAGCTCGGACAGGATCAGCCTGGTTGAAGGCAATGGCACGACGGCATCAAGTGTCGGGTTTGGCGGCCGGTTTGGGTGGCCGCCTGCCCCCCGAGCAGTGCTGCGGTCCGGCCCTGCCCCGCCGACCCACGGTGACAGTGGGGGCTCTGGCATTCCTGTAGGGACGTGATTCACCTGCTACCGAGCAGCCAGCGCGGCGCTACCTGTGCCCATAGCACATTGGGATGCAAACAGCGTTCTACTTTTATTAATTTTTTTAAGCTGGGTATTTCTGCGTGTGCTTCGTGAGCGTGCATGCATGCATGCATCCGTGCGCGCGCGCACAACTGTATCTGTAAGCACAACGTGACTGCAAAAAGCATACTGCTTGCTGTGAGATTAAATACTGCCGCCGCCTTGGCAGCTCTGCCGTTTTGTGTCGTGACCGTGCTTCTGTCAGGTGAGGAGATACTAGTGCTCAGTTTATCTGCTTTCTCTGCAGTTACCACATAGGAAAAGAAGGAGTAGGGGCAAGATTACAGGGCTGCTAGGTCTCTTCCTCTGTGGAAACGGCTCTGGAGAGATGAAGTCATCGAGAAGTTCTTTTTATGGAGACGTAGAGGTTTGGCCTGTTTCCTGGTGGGAGAAGAAAGGAAGGGCTTTCCCTTGCAGCACACAAGTGTCGGGAGGATACACGCCCCTTCGTTGCTCCTGGGTTAGCTCTTCCTCTGGCTCCGTCAGTGTACTCTGTCATCACAGGAGTGAGGCATAAAAAAACAGCCTAAAATTGTTAGCTTTTCCTGCAGTTTCTCCACTGCAACTGGGAGGATGAATTCTCCTTCATGCCTGTCCTCTCTCTGCCCAACTTGTACCCCACCCCAGGCCCATTGCAAGCCGACTTATTTATCTTCTGAAAAGAGCAGGGTTTGACCAGTAGAAACTCTACAACACATTGCTACCCAGAGACCGGATCTTGTATTGTCTTGTGCAAAGACCAAACTTCGTTCAGAGTGAGTTTTATCAGATTAAAGCAGAAATAAAAAGGCTCCCCCCAAATCCATGAGAAAGTCAGTTTTTCATCTGGTGTTTATAGATCAGTTTCTATCCTAATTTCTTAGTGTAAGATTTGGGGTGGAAAAAAAAGAAATTAAAATCTAATACAAGTTGCACCTAACTTAAAGATATTAAGACTTTTTCTGACCTGAAATGGTGTTATTTTTCATGACATGGATGAGTATGGGTTCAGCTGTAGCACACACAGCCTAACATCATTTTGTATTAAAGACAAAAGTTACTTCTATTGACCTACAAACAAATTACTGTGACAAATACCAGTATTCTGAGCATCTGGCTGTACGGTCTGTATAACCCATTTCAGTGGGTGAACTTAAATGCCCAGAGAGCTGGGAAACAGAAAGAGGTGAAGTTGCGTGTGTGTAAGCTCTGCCTGCAGACCTGCTCCTGTTCCGAGCCCCGGAGCTTGTTTAGCCGCAGGATGTACTTCTGCTTTTCTTGGAGGTATTTACAGCAGTCTCTGCTACACTGACAAGTGATTATTTCACCATTTTACCAACTTTATAGCAGGCTGGTAATTAGCGGTGAAATTTTTCATCCTTGCAGATCAGCCTGGTGGAAAAGAAACACATTTTTTAAAAGAACCACATCATCACAGCTTTTAATCAAGTAATATTAATTTTATCCACCTCATTTTATGATGGTGTTGATAAAGGAATGTCTGCAAAACAGATTACTCTTTCAGAAAGCCATTAATTTTTTTTTAACTATTAGAGGCCATTGGTCATGTGTGGTAAGAGCCAGTAACAGTGTTGATATTTAATCCACTAACTTGCACTTGCCAAAATTAGTGGAAGGAGAATTGAATCCCTCTAGATGCTCTTTAAGGAAGAGCTGTACTCCATGCAAATACTAATGGGGCAAACACATCAGAAATTAATTTCACCAGCGATGAAAATGAGCCAATTTGCTTAAGTGACTGACTAAACGCACTGTTGTTAATCTGTAGCTGCAAAAGAAACATCCAAGTGTGTTGCATAACTACCTAGAATGAAAATGAAGGCTATATATGAAACGTAAAAGACCAGAAACCATTCGGTCACCTTGGCAGTTCTTTCTACCTGAAGGATTGTAAATTAATCCCCGCAAAGGATTCCTGGGGAGGCATGTCCAGCCAGAGACTTGCCTGCTGGCAAAGCAGAGTGAAGGCGCTCCAATTTCAGAATTTCTTCCTTCCATTTTGCACGAGAGGCGTAAAATGTGGTTACACACAAATTATGTCATTGAAAGAGTCTGTGCAATATGGATTTTTAAGTGATGGCATTTTTGTGCATGTGAAGCACTGACAGAGAGCCTTCTGCTGCTTACCGGTCAAATTGTTACCTAAAGGTGTCAGTGAGTGGGTTCCATGCCAGAGCCACTGCGTCCCAGAGCCAAAGGTTTGTAGTCGGTGAGATGTATTCTACTGAACCAATTCATTTGTACGTGCATACATGGTGCTCGCTACATTCTGTAGCACACGACATTGTGTTGTATCATTATCTCATCATAATATAAATACAAATTTTTATGCCTTCTTGTTGTGGTTTTCAGGTTTTTTTAACTTTTCACCATTTGTTTTGTGTGTATAGCGTTTCTTCTCTTTGCAAATCTTTACATATAGGCTTAATGACTATTTCTTAAGGCACTCACTGAATTTTAGCAATTCAAATTAATAGTATGGTAGGAAGGCTGGAGTGCTATTTAAACTAAAGTTCTTTTATATATGTTGGCCCAATGCAACCCCAATAGTCATTAACGTTATTTGTCTCTAACCATGGGTGCTGTATAAATTTCCACTATTACATTTCTCAAATCAAACCAACCTGTAAAACAAAGTGCAAATTGAAATGCATTAGTGTCTGTTCTAAGTAATTATACTTGAAATCATTCCAGCTCTGTACAAGACAGAAAAAAAAAGCATTAAAAGGCAGCCTACAAGTTCTGCATGTGTATTTTGTTGAATATGAAAGTCACATCACAAGTGATGTACAGCCAGACAAAAATGAGCATTTTAGTTTGTTACTAGGAGAGATGAGAGGAAGGACAGAACTGAAATGCTTTTGCAAATTGCATCGTTATACTCTCAACTGTAATGTGTGACATCCACTGGTTTTTGTTTCAGTTTGTCATGCGTGTTGCACTTAAATACAGCGATGCCTTAAAAATATAGAAATAGTAGTTTTAAGCTGAAATCATGGCAAGTAGCTTGTTGATTTGTTTATGTTTGATTCAGATAAGCTGAGCTGCTTAATCAGTAAAAATATTCATGCACAAAGCAAACTATTTTTTTTATCATGGCTTTCTTTGAAATTACTACTATCACAGAATAAGCATAAAATACAATCCAGCACATTACTAACTTATTAGAAATTAATCTCCAACAGGAAAAAAGCTGTAATAAACTTTTAGCAGTGCTATATTTTGGGACAGCACCACTTTTCTGAGCACAAGAAAGAATTGCGTGGGGTAACAGAATTATGACAAATGCAGTGGCACTATTTTTGTAAAACCTGTACAGTTTATGACCTGTACAGCTTCTTTTATGACATTTTTAATGTTGTGATTTGTTTATAAGAAAAGTAAGTTTCCTCATTTTGCTAATGATAGATGTTTCAAATTTAATATTAGAACTCCAGAAGCTTGCCTTGCCTATCAGGATGAAAATGTTTTGTCAAAGCCTATTTAAATGGAAAAGAGCCTTGGATTATAACTAAATTCAAGCTGATATAACCATCAGCTTCCTCTGGAAGAGTTAGTTTAAAGTGGTTTCAATGGCAAAATTCTCAGTTATTATTACTCTAGAAACCATGAATTACCCAGTGTTTTTAAGGACCATGGCATGGCAAGAAAGGTATGATTATGGTGTGGCAGACAGCGGAGCAATGGAGGGCTGGCATTACTGCTGTCAGAAGAGCTGGGTTTGGAAGAGCGGAGATTGCTGCTGGTAGGAGGCCGATTTCCTTTTGCCCGCTATGATTTTACGCTCCCCAGGCTGAGGAGGCAGCTCTGTAAAAGCCCCCCAAATGGTTGGTCTCCTGTGTCACTGCGGTGCAAAGGAACCACTGCCCCGCTAGGGAGGAGCTGGTGGGAGATTGATGGGAGAGGGGGAGCAGAGCAAGAAAGTGGGAGGGATCAGGCTGGTCCTTCACAGTCCCTGCCGAGGCCCCTGCTGAGTCCTAGTGTACATTCCCACACTAAGGTTCAATTTCTTACGAACAAAACCCATTTGCCAACAGCCAGACTGATCAGCCCCACTTGGGGTTTTAATCCAGAATAGGGTCATAGGAGTAGACATACAATTTTCTAGGAAAAAAATAACCTTGTGCATCATTGTGTCTTAATACATTAGTAGTTAGCCCAAACACGTAGGCGGTTCTTTTATATTTATGGCATTGAATCCAACAAAGCTGAAGAAAACTAATCACTTTGACCTGCTTTTCTGGGAATACAAGGTCTCAGAATGAAATCTACTGTTCCTCTAGAGAGAAGATACATGTGCTTGTGAGAGAAAGCAAGCTGGTGCCAAATTCCTGTCTTCTAACTTAGTTATAATAAAAGTTCACATGGCACTTTAAAAGCTGTGCTTAATTCAGAATATAAATTTGCTTAAAGCAATGAATTACCTTTTAGGACAAGGTGTTTCCAAAGAGTGGTTGCTACTCCAGCAATCTGCAGCAGGGACCACTAACATCCTGCTGCTGCTAGCAGAAGTGCAGTATGATGCAAAATGAAAAACCTTCTATAGTTACAGTTCACCAGCTAAAAACTTATTTCTGTGTCTTCTCGTGTATTTTTTTTTCCACACGACAAAAC